AAAAGTAACTATCATTGAACAAAAAGAAATCTTAAATATAAGTTATTCATGATGTTTCTGTTCTTTATTTACATCTTAGAAAACCATGAGAATTCAAAGCAATGTTTTTTTGCTGGACATTAAGTCACAATCTCCTGATCACATCTGTAAAACTACTGATTTACTGAACTGATCCCAAAACTAAGATCTTCATGAGGATAAGCAGTGCAACAATATGCCAATATTTAAGAAATGAACTGTAAGAACCCCAATTATTTCAAAGTGTCAACCCCATCCAAAGACATTATGCCTTGTATGACAATTGTACTCTTGTTGCTAACTTCATCAAATTGCAGACACACCTTAACAGGAACATACAGACTGGTCCTGAAGAACACTGATCTAATTTCCATTAAAGCAGACAGAGAGAGAACATTCAAAACCTTGCATTTAATTTCTACTACACAAAAGGTAGCAAGACATTTAGGATGTATCTTTGCAGCTAAATTGTGTCCTGAGCTGCACATGTGAGTCCCTTGTCTCCCAAGGCATATTCTAACCCAAGAATGGAACGAGTTGAAAAACTGGATGCTAAAAATATAAAACCAACTGCTTGCTTTCTCTCTTTTAGTAAAATATAAGTACAGATATTACCCAACAATGTGACCATTCTTTAAAATATTTGTATTTTTCTTAATCCTGAAAAATTCAAATTCATATCATTTTGCTTTTCAGAAAAAAAAAAAAGGTTCTTCTCCCACCCTTCTCCACAAAACTATTTTTGAGTATAAGCAAACACAGACTGTACATATACCAGACTGGTGACCTGCAGTCTTATTTGCAATGTGTAGACAAGAAGAACACCCTGCTGAGACGGACTCACACAGTCTATCAAATCCTGCCAGGGAACAATGAAATCTGCTGTATGGTACACTGTTTCCTGTAGTTTCTTGCAGTGAAGAGCTCAAAATCTGTCAAAACACTCTGCCCTTTGTGACTTGCTCAATGAGAGGTCCTTACTGTGCAGCATCTCCTATTCAGATGTGAGCATTAATGTATCTCACAAAGAGACTCTCAATAAACTGCTCAACAAACATTTGGAAGGGACTAACCTCTGTACACAAACAGCACCCAATGTACACACAAATGTGTCCGCATCTAAGTTAGAAGGCTCATTAAGAAATACACATCAAATCTGGTTTAACCTAAATAATTTGTCCAAGTCTCTTCAGTGAATAGTGACACTAAAACCTAGCTTATGTTAAGTGGGTGTAAATGTCTGCAGGATTTAGCCCACGCTCTGACTGTCAGGATTGAATTGACTGAATAGCATTTACTTCACACCATACGCCTTACAGTCGTGAAAAGCCATGACTATCCTGCTTCAAAAGCCCAGCGTGAATCTTCCTAACAGAAGCTTAAACCATTTCTTATTCCTCTCTGTTTTGGATCATACATCATCTGACATGGCTCAGAAACCATCCAGGACAGTCATCTTCAATTCACCTTTTATAGCATACAGGCTTTTTGCAAATTGACAAATCCTACTTCACCTCTTTGGAAACTGCTATTAATCAAGGTCTAGACAAACATTCAGCTGTAAGGGACTGGGCATACTGAAGATGAAGTGACAGCACCAAGTGGAAGGATGGCCTGGAAGGTCATAGTGCACACATTTCTAGGAAATTACATTAAATCAAGAAATTAAATGCTCGTGGATGAGGGAAACTGAGGAAGACTTCTTTGTTACTGTACATATGCAAAATGACTGCTAAACTATACAGAGATCACCTTTTGATTTCTGGTTAAACGAAGACCAAAGGGACAATTATGTAACATTTGTATACCCATCAGAGTTGATTTACAGCATTTTAAGCCTTTACATACTCACATACAAACAATTTCAAATTTAGTACCAGCCAAGTGTCATTTTCTTATCTCTTATTTATGCTTTTAAAAAATTATTTAGACTATTAAAATTCACAGCAAGAGAATGAAAAATCAACGTAATACAGCATCAGTTTGTTACTAGTGACCAGGATTTTAAAACTAACAGACTTCCCCAAATAAACTGTTTTCAGACAATAAATAAATAAATAATCTCACACTATTAATGAACGTGAATGTAACTAACAATAAAATAAAGATAGTTGCAATAAAGTCTCTACTTAATGAGAAAGAAGAGCATGGTAAGTTTGTTCCATTACAGGGAGAAAATAAATTGTATTGTTAAGATAGCATTTTCATTTTGCCACATATATATCAAGTCTATATATTAAACCAGCAATTTTTTTGTATCTACAGTACATCTACAAGATGCCCACAGCTCTTGAATCCTTGCAGAGTTCCACTGACACCAAAAGAACGGAGAACTGCATCTACTCTATATTCTACCCTATGATTATTTCAAACTACTAATAGCTTTACCACACAAAACAACTGAGCAAACCACAAGATTGTATTTTATTTCAAGTAAAAAAATCCTTATTTTTTATTTCAATGACATATAGATCAGCTCCTCATCTAATATGGTAAATTTCTACTTTTGTGTTCACTGAGGTAAGGCTGATTTGATTCCATTGAAGTTTGTTGAGTTAGTCTAGATTTACACTGGTAAACTTCTGAGATGAGTTTGTCCCTGAGCTTTAAAATTCCTATTTTTATTTTTCAGCACAGCAACAATCAGAATACATAAGGATGAATGAATTGCAGTAAGATATAAAGACTAAATAATGAAAAAACATATTAACATAAAACTGCCAATTTCATCTACGTTCAGGAAATCAGTGCATGCAGATTGTTTTCAAAACATGAGTACTTATGCTTGATTCTCAAGTTTTTCTATAGAAAGAAATTTTATGAATATATACATAGGCCTTTTTCAATTAATGCTGTAGGTTTGCTTCTGAAGTTACACTGCAACTGGCAGTAAAAAAAAACCCATATCAAGTCCTGATTTTCTAGTCTGTATCACATTCTAATTCTCATTCACCACCACTATAATGCATGTTAACTCCTCCACTACAGAGAATGTTTAATCTAGATGTAATTCTGTTCCTGCTTTTCTCCCCTCCCATGGAGATTTTTAAGAATCTTTGTAAAACATTTTTACTACAAAATCTAAATCTGGAAGTTAAAATTACCTAAAGACATCTTTTCAAATTTCATTTATAAAACTACCCTAACCAATTGAAATGATACACAGATTGGTATTTTTATTTTTGCTAAGGATAAACTAACTTTCCTTTCCTCTGAAAAATTGTCTTATTCAAAATGATTAATGAGAAGGGAGCCAAATCAAAACAAATGCCCCTAGCATTACGTTATTGTTCCTCTCTGAACTTCAGTGTTGAAGATCTCAGAATCCAACTAAAAACTAAATTATGCTTATGTTACTAATGCAATAAAATTTCACTGCCTTTGGAGGGTGTACTTGTATAGCAGAGGCAAGGAGGATTTTTTAGACAACAGAAGATGGGGAAAAGCCTTCATAAAAATTAAATTGTCAAGGTGATCGGAAAACATTAATGTTTAAAATTTTACAGATTCCCTTTCATCCATATAGAAATGATCCAAAAAAGTGTATTACAGGCACTTAGCAAAGTCTAGTTTCAGAAATACAATAGTACCAAACAATTTTATTAACATTGCATACAACTTTTTAAGTCAATGCTGGTTAACGTTTTGATGTTGCTGAAGGCAAACAAAATTCATAAACAATGGTTTTCTGTGTTTTACATTGGACTGGATGTTATAACTATCTTAGTCATAAACTAACCTAGAATAGTAATGATTGAAACAGGGTAAAACCAATACATTTTGTTTTCTTTATTTCAAAATAGGGTGATTATAAATACATTCCCCTTGTTATTTCCTTCCTAACTCTTTGGATGCAACCAAAAAAAAAAAAAATATAATAAAATCTCACTGTGCTCATTTCAAACAATATCAATGTACAAATCATGCAAAAGATATTATAGATATTATCAAGTTCTGGATGTGTTTCATTAACTCTGAAACATTTGTTAACATTGTTCACAAGGCCATGCCTTTTATAATTTACATTATTATGTCTTTCAAAAAAATCATCTTATTTAAGATTTTTATCCTAGATTTCTATATTATTGTCAATCTTGAACAGTAAATGCAAAACGTAAATTGTTTAATGGTCTTGTGTTCTTGCACCATGGTAGTTCCTTTCTGATAAAGTTGCACAAATATTTTCTTTTTCAGGGAAACGATTACACTTTATTGATTTTATTTAAAAATGGAAACTTCTTTATAATACAATGAAGAAAACAGATTATGTTAACATCTTCACTGGTTTAGTCTATGGGTCTTAACAGCCATTTTACAAGCATGGCCACTCAAACCAATATAATGAACAGATCTCTTAAGCCACATCCTAAAAGTCACCTTCCCAGATAGACTGACTATAGATTTGAATGGACATTACAATAAAACTGCTGTGCAGACACATACACTGTTTCAAAACATGGAGGAGATAAACTGACATTAAGGTTGTCATTCAAAGTAACAATTTCACAGAAATAGAGTGTTTTGCCAACTTCTGCATTCTTCAATCACACTATTATGCCTATATATTGCATCATATATGTAAACCACTCAGGAACAATTTATACAGGAAAGTTCAGATTGTGCAATCTTTATTGATGCTGGCAAACCTACACTCAACTGCATAATCCCAAAAGTCACTGTGCTCTATGTATTATATACAATGTCTCTGAACCAGCTTTTTTTGAAGTCAATGAAAAACTCTACCTAAGCCCCACTCTTGGGCATATTGTTTGATTAGTTCATGAATAGTACCTCCACACATGATTTAGATTGAGTTTAAATGCTTTACTGGATTGGGACCTCAATGAGCAGGAAAATCTGATGCAGTGTAATGGTATAGCATACCAGTTCCTCCTTTGGTCAGTAATTAAAAGACCTCACCACAAAAACAAACAAACAAGCAAAACCTGAAACAAAACACCACAAAACAAACCAAACACCTGTTTTTAGCTGAGGAAGGTATGATCATTTATCATTGATCTTTTAGCTCAGGGCAACACAAGTCATAAGCACATCAGTTTCAACATCACTTAAAAGTATTACCTTATTTGCTATTTCTAATATTTTTAACACATGGCTCTGCAGAGAAGGGTATGGGACATGACAGACTGACAATGCACTGAAGTGTGTCGGAAGCCTTATGCAAGGCAAATCCCAGTGAACCTGGATACATACTTAAAGCCAAGCAGCACCCGGCAGAGTAGGCACAGTGACCCATTATTCTTAACCTACTGGTGGTGCCATTGTAGTCTATCATGTCAGTGCATCTGTAACACTTCTTAATTCACAAACTCTTAACACAGTAAACTCAAATGTAGTTATTCAAGCCTTGGATATGTATTGCATCATTGGTCAACCAAGAACTTCTTATGCTAGAAAAGCATATGTACATAGTGTCCATGTCCTGAAAATCTCTATGACATCCTGAAGTCACTTATTGCACATTGATAGCAGCAGCTTCTTGAAAGAAACTCAGTCATTAATTTATCTGTTATAATTTTATTATTTGAAGTCATGTACGTAGTATGACATTGTACATACTCCATTGTAGCATGGAGAAAAATAATAAACCCCTCTAAGTTACAAGAGCATAAACAAATGTCTGAAAATAGAAAACTGATGTTTTGTTTTGCTTTTTCTTAAATAAAGAAGCAGTGCTTTGGGTTTTGTTTTTTTTTTCTTTTTTGTAAACTTTGCTAAAAATACACTGCAGGCTGTTTGCCAAGTGTCCTTCCAGAATAAAAATTTCACAGCAGTATCATAAAGCCCTGAAATTAGAGGTTTATAATAGAAATAGCTGACACAGCCTTCTCCCCAATATCGTTATCAGGTCTTGCTGTAATATTTGTTAGCTCCAAATTAATGAAAAGCATTCGTATTTGTATCCTACTAATATTAACTGATTTATGTATTGATTTGAAAAGGGGCAGGGGAGAAGGTCTGGAAGCAAAGGAGATAGAGGTACTTATCCAAACCTCATTGAAATAAATGAAAAAAAAAAATCCTTTTCAAGTCAAAAAACTTTTGTTAATCTCATAGTATAGATTTGCTGTATGATGCTTTACCAATAGACCTTCATTCTCATCTCCAGGTGCCATCTATCAGTGAGATACAGTGGAGATTTTCCATTGTCCTGACTGCTGTTTATCCCTGGCTATTCAGATTCAGCTTTCACAAGGGCAAGTTTTCACTCTCTAGATACGAGCTACATAATACTCTGAACTGAGACCACTATATTCACTTTACACTGTGGTTTTAAATAGACATGGTTTGCCATATTGTTCACTGTCTGATCAGTTATTTTTTTCCTGACAGACAGCAGCCAGACAGGTAAGAACATAAAACTTATGCATATACGATTAAAATATTACCCTTACCATGAATTCCTGATAATACTTGTAGCGAAAACTACTTAGATTAAGCTGTAGAACCCTGAAAAGCAAGACAAGTGATGGCAAATAACTGCCTGAGACACAATACTAAAAAACTAATGACTCTATTTTAAAATGCACCATTGGTAACAAATCTGAAATAAGATAATATGCTAATTTCACAAGAATAGTACAGAACAATTTTATTATTATTATATCTGATCACTTAATTCTGGATAATTCTATACATCTCCAGTTTCTGTTTTTTATATTGTTCTGGTTTTATTTATACTGAATGATTAATGCACTGTGATCAGGAAAACAAGTCAGGCATATTAAATACATATTAAGGAGTACATATTTTTCCTATTTAGTATACAAAGTATTTCATAAATATGAATTATATTATAAAAATAATTTCTGCTACGCTCACACAGTAAGCACTTTGACAATTGTGGACAACCTGTTGGGGTTGCAAGTTTTTCATGTAACTGAGAAGGAACTCTAGTTTTAATTGGAGATGAGTCTTATAACAGATTCTGCATAAACATCAAATATTTTCTTCAGATGCCACAAATACTGCAGAAGTCAGGGTGAACTATTTCTTTCTTTTTTTCTTTTTAATTTCTTTGTATAGACATGTATGCTTCAAGTGGTCAAATTTATTTCATAGGTATGTAATGCATGGTATATTTAAAACAAATATTTGCACAATTTAACATTATAATTCCAGTGGTTTCAAAATGCAGGCCATAAATGTATCCAATTTACACATACTATCAAATGTTCTCTCTTTGCATGCTTGTTACTTTCCAGATATTCTTTAAACAGTGCCATTACAACACCACAGATCAAGGGATTACTCCAGTTCCACCAATTTAAATCCACGTGCAGGATGAAGGACCCAGCTGAGGTACAAACACCAGTACCAGGTTTCTTGTGTTTGTTCTAACAAATCACAAGGAGACGATGGTTTTGCATTTAAGGTACAAAACATATATGCCTCTTGAGGTTAAATTCAGGGTAACATGTATAAAGCATCCCTTTGGCAATAGAGTTTGCAGTATCCTCACAGGATTCCATGGGGCATGAGCTTTATGTAGTAAAATCTATTTAGGAAATTCTCCTCTACTTGACAATTCATATGCAGCTACAGTTAATCAAGACACCCTTGGACACACCTGCCTCTATGCCTATCAATATAATATAGTATTTGGAAGTTAAAAGTCAACAAAAGGCACTTTCATCATTAAATAAATGTCCTCTGTAGGTGATAAGATTGTATGACCTATATTTTATTCAAAGCTGTTTGCTCTTCAAGGACTTGTAGGTAGTCGGGTGAACCTTGAAGTTTAGCTTTTAGTTCAAAATATTCACTTTTTCTTTGTTCTACTACAATTTTACTATGATTACCACCTATTAGAGATTTCTTGTTTTTTTTGTCTTGTAGTTTCTCTGGATAACGTATTTCAAAGCCACTGACCCCTATGCTGTTGTATTCTTTTTTACTTTCAAGAAAATTTTGAATAAATACATTGGAATCCCTCCCAGGGAATAACTCATCCAGTTCATCGATTGTGCTAAGTCTTTTTCTGGTATCCGCATGCAACAAATCTTTCTCCTTGTCATTAATATTTCTCAGAATGACTTTTTGCCCTGGTGGGTCAGCAAACGTGAAGCCCGTTTCAGACTCTTTTAAGCCACAGGTATGACTTTTGGTCATCTGCTCAATTGTCTGAGGAATGAAGGCCTCTGCACCTAGTCCATCCTTTTTGTTTGACTTGTGATCGTGCTTTCTTAGCTGCAGTTGCATAGAACTGCATTCTTGATTTCCAATCCCTTCATGCTTTACAGTTGGTTTTTTGTTGCGCCGAAGCACAAAAACAAGAAGACAAAAAGCAACAAACACTGTTAAAATAAGAACAACTAATATGCTTAAGATTAGGATGGACAACGGAACTGGGCCACCAGGAGAGCTCCGAACTGGTCCTGGTAGTGTTGTGAAAGTGACAGCGGGCATTGGACTAGTGAACAGAGCAGATGGCTTGTTTAAAAGTTTAGGACAGAGGATCTCATTTTTCAGAGACTTAAGTTCAATGTTTGCAAACTGTACAGGTGTTTCACATTTCAATTCCTTCACCACAATACCTTCATTTAGCTTTTCAAGCCACAGTTTTAAAGCAACTAAATCACAAGTGCAGTCCCATGGATTACCTTCCAAATCAATTTGTGTAAGGGATTTCAGCTGATCAAGAACGCCACTTACAGGTAAATACATGAAATGATTGTTCCTCAGATTCAGTCTAGCAAGGGGTGCACCAGCAAATATGTACGCTGGCAAGCTTCGTAGAAGATTGTTGTTCAAGTAGAGCAACTGCAAATTTGGCATTAAGTCAAAGGTGCCTGCTAGGATTTCTTTGATAACATTGTATTCCAAATACAGATACTGTAAGTTGTGGAGGCCAGCGAACATGTCTGGGCTCAGACGCTCTATCTGATTGCCATTGAGATACAATCTCCGTAAATTTGTGAGGTTGCGGAAAACTTCTCCTTTGATCAGGGAAATCCGATTGCTGCCTAAATGTAGCAAATCCAGCCCCTCGAACTCCATGAAATCTGCAGTGTCCACATTCTTAATATAATTGCCATTTACATGCAGTTTCTTGGCATTTAATGGTTTTGGAATGAGTTCGGCCATTGATTCTATATTTCTTTCTTGGCAATTTACACTTAATCCCAAGTCTGAAGGATGTGTTTTGCAAACACAGGGGACTGGACAAGGAGTTAAAGGAGGCACCCTGGTCTGGAAAGATACAATTTGACTGAGATTGCGATTAGACAGTGCTTTGCCTGCTACTATCCCCGAGATCTTTGAAGGATTTGTAGTCTTTGGCGGCTTTGTGACTAATCTGTGCACTGATGTTTGAGTGGTGTGGCCATTAGGTGTGCTGTAACCGGGCTCCAGCTGCGAGGGAGGCAGAATGCGCACATCAAAATCACTCCCTGTCCCCATGGAGCACAGCTCTTGCTTGTTGGTTTCTTTCAGCAGCCTTCCATACAAGTCACTGGGTGTTTCACAGATAGCTTCTCCAATGTAGATGTTATAGGGCATGTTCTCCAGCCACGCTTTCAAAGGCAACAAATCACAAGTACAATTCCAGGGGTTGTCCTCCAGCTGCAATTCAACAATTCGGCCAATGTGTTCTAAAACTCCAATGTATGGAAGCTTCTGTATTCGATTCCCTCGTATATCCAGATGAGTTAGAGAAGCAAATCGAAAAATATTATCAGGAAGGAATGAAATCAGATTGTCATTAAGAATCAGGACTTTCAGCTTGTGAAGCTTATTGAAGGCTCCCCGTTCAATAAACTTGATTAAATTGTAGTCAGCTTGGAGATACTCCAAGTTCTCTATGCCAAGGAAAGTGTCAGCTCGGAGAATCTTTAATTCATTGTTGTTCAAGTGCAACTGTTTTAATGCACTAAGACCCATAAAGGCCCCTCCCTCAATGTTCTGTAACTTATTATTACCCAGTTGCAAGGACACTGCGTATGTAAAATTAAGAAAGGAATTTGGATATAGAATAATTAGCAGGTTGTTTTGAAAGTTGAGGTGGTAAAAATTAGACCATGGTGGTTTAAGCTGATTTGGTCTGTAGACTGCAACCTTCTCACAGTTGACATAGAGTACATTCTCAACTGACACACAGGAGCAAACATTGCAAATTTCCACAGATATATCAGCATCTGCAGTTGTAGAAGAAACTGGAGATGACAGAACCAGAAAGAGCCACAGAAACATCTTCTTGTGATCAGCAAGCAACCTTAGGCTCCTGAACAAAGATAAAGAATCTAAAGAAGAAAGAAGGAAAGAAAAAAAGAAAACGTTTTTCAGTTGTTACTGTTCCAAAACATCATTTGGGTTAAAAATTGTATACCACTGAGCTACTGTACCTGCCAAGGATTATAGATAAACTACAAGCACTGAATTTAAAATAACATGAAATATTTTAACAACCAAATACATGGGAGCTAGAATGATTTCAAATACGGCATGTAAATTTCTGTAGACAAACACAAATAACACTGAGGTCTGTCAAATATATTTCTCTCTCTCTTGTACATGCCAAGCATGCATAGCTAACAAAGCAAAATAACCAAAGGAGATTCCAATTTTATGCATATTTACTCTCCTCAATCCTGCACTGCTCATATGTTGCCGTGCATTTCAGGGATATTAAACACAAATGCTGATGTTATGCATGCCCAAACATCTGGGTTGAGATAGCACAATATAGAAAGGATGAAGACACAGACACAAAAAGCAATGTCAGTACTCAATGTATGTATCTATAGCATCAACACGTACAGATTATCACTACTATAAAAGCAAGATTCACTCAAGGGGTACACAGGCATGCACACACATAGTTTCTGTCACTTATTATATCTAGTTTAAATAAATTGGTGTCAAACTGATTGCAGAAATACAATGAACTATCCGCAAAACAAGATCAGCTCTTGGTAACCAATGGAAGCACACAGATATGGAAGAAGCATGCACAGGTATACAGCTCCATCCCCTGGAATAACAGCGATACCCTCACTTGCAGGGCAAAACAAAGTCAATTCACCAGCCCAAAACTACTGAAACTTAAGAACTTTTTTCTTTTGTTTAACTAATATGATGTAGTTTGCTCTTCTCCCTGCACTGATACAGAGGTGGCTTTCAAGAACCCTCCACATATAGACAGGTCAGCTGAGCTGCCATTTTTTTTTTTTTTTTTTTTTTTTTACACGTAACTGGAGCCACAGCTTTTTCTTTGAGTTACAAGGTAGCTTTTTTAAAAAAAAAGAAAACAAAAATCAGTCAATAATCAATACATTGCTCCCCCACCTTCCCCATTCCCCCCATTTCCCAACTTGTCCCTTTCATTTCTCTCCTGCTGTGGGAAGCCACTGAGCTGGCAGGAGGGAGCCAGGATGGAAGTGGAGAAAGCAAGAGCCAGCTGGAGGGAGGAGAATCAGGCTGGAGGGAGCCGCAGGGAGGGGAGGATGCGCCGGGGGACCTGGAAGGGTGGGCAGAGGAGCGATGAGGGAGGGAAGAAGGAAGGGAGGACACAAGGACAAGAGGGAGAGGGAAAGCTGAGAGGAGGCGAGGGAGGAAGAGGAAAAGGGATAGCTGAAGGGGTCAAAGAGGCCGCAGAGCGGGAACATGGGGAGAAGAGGGAGGGGAGCAGCCGCTGCTGATCCCCGCAGGCTCCCGACCCTGGCCGCGTGGAACAGGCCCACGGGGCAGCGCGATGCCCCCGCGTCCCCAGCGCTCCACCTCCTCCCCCCCGGGCTCCGTCCCCCAGTGTCCCTGCCTCTCCCACGCTCGAGTCCCCTCTTCTTCCTCAGCCCCGGGGCGACGGCCGCTGCCGACTGGGCTCGCTGCTGGACCTGCACGGGGCTGGCAGCGGGTCGCCCTGCCTGGCCAGGAATGCCGGCGCTACCGCAATATTTGCCGCAACCGGCTCGGCTGGTGCCGGCTCCCCTCTGTCGTGGGCGCCCCGTCGCCCTCTGCCTCCCTGCGGGGGAAGACAGGAGGGACACAGGCGCGCACACACCGCACGCACATGCCGGCTAGGAATGGACACAGCGCGGCGATGCAGCCCAGCATCTCTTACACCCTCCTTTTCGTAACAAGGCACAACCGTGGTCCCCGCAGCCAAATACTTCCAAGACCTCCAGTCCCCCTCCCTCCGTGTCGTGTCCCGTGTACCCCCCCCGGGGCACCTTTGCAAAGTCCAACCCGCAACACATTTACACACCCCCAGCCCCACTGCGCAGATCCTGCCCCCCTGTCCCTCCCACACCTCCACTGGCTTATCCGGGTTGCCCGGCCCCAGTCCCTCCGCTCGCCTGCGGGAAGGATGGGAGCCGGCAGCGCTGCGCCTGGTGCCGCTGGCCCGGGGCTCCGGGAGGCGGCCGGCTAGAAAGGAGAGGCGACCGCGATGGCAGAGAGGCTCCGGCAGGAAGCCACTGTCGCCCCGTCACCATCACCCCCCCCCCCTTTAAAATAACAGTAATGAAAACAAAACCTTAGGAATAATTAAAATAAATTAAAACGCCAAAGTAAAAGCAGCCCCGGTACACCCCGCTCCCCTGCCCGCACTCACACGCCCGGCGGGGCGGCCGGCCGCCCCCGGCGATGCTCCCGGCGGCGCTCCCCGGCGAGCCCGGCACCTTCCCTACCTCGGCGGCCGGGGTCGCCGCGGCCCCACTCCGCTGCGCTCCACCGCTCTCCCAGCGAGGTTCCCCGTCCGGCAGCTCCGCGCAGGCACCGAGCGGCGGGGGCAGCCGGGCAAGTACCCTTGGCCGCGCAGAGCGAGGCTAAGCCCGGCGCTGCAGTACCCCGGCTGGCTCCGCCGCATGCAGCAACCGCCTCGCTGAGCCCTGCCCCGACACCGCGGTCCCCAGCACACATACGGGAAGAAGATCCCTCTGCACACGGGCACCCGCTCCCATCGCACTGCTCTCGCCCACCCCTTGCACGCAGAGAGCCCCCTCCCCTTCGCCACACGCACACACATATGCACGCACGCACCGAGCGCTCGGGCGCTGCTTTGGAGGGGAAGGAGACTCCGCTCCGGGGGAGCAATGCCAGCGCATCGCGACCGGAGCCTCTCCGCGCTCCTGGAGTCGCGCAGCTGTTACCTCTCCCAGGGAGATGCCGGGCTGCGCCCCCGCGGAGCTCAAGCGGGCGCGGAGGGGCGGGAGGAGCCCTCCGGGGCGCCGAGAGTGGCGGGGCCCCGGTGCCGTGCCGGGCGCCGTGGGGCCGCCATGGGCGGCGCGGAGCAGCTACAAGTGCAGCTCGGGGCAGAGCCGGGACGGGGCCAGCTCGCCCGCCCAGCGGCGGGTGCGCGCCCCTTAGCAGCGCGGCTGAGGGAGCAACGCGGGGGAAGGGAAGAAAAGAAAGGGCTCTCCCCTCATCTTTACTGAGGAGTGTCGTTCCCCCCCCCGCTCTTGAAACAAAAGTAGAGGTGGAAACTGAGTGGGCAGGATGGTAACATTTGCTGCATTTAATATGAATTGCAATTATGGAACAAAATCGCTGTGAGGAGACATACCCGACCCGTTCTTAAGACAACACAGTTATTTGTGTATCTCATTCTTTGTGCTTAGGTGAAATTCCTCCTCTGCTTAGGTAACAGCTGCAGTCTGACGAAAAATAATTCACTAATGTTATGCACTTGTGCAAAACAGATTCTGCTAATTAAGAACTCCTATTTACTCTACCTCTCATAATATACTTTAAAATGGTAACTAACACCTCCAAACAAGGTGACATCTCTTTCCAAGGCAGAAGAGTCAGTTAACCAAATGAAATCTTGCAAGGGGAGTTCAACTGCTTGTCCTTTACCGTGGATGCTAACATAATTCAGTTAGAAAACTGTTTACGTGTTGCATACATACCCATTTTAAGTGCTAGTTCTAGGCAGTAAACATCAGGGAATGGAAAAGAGCAACTGCTTTCTTCATTTACAGAAATGGAATAAATAGCTTGCTCTGAAGATTTACTGCATCTAATTGAAATAATTGCTGAATGTTATTTTGCATTATGCGAGTAGACTGATACCTGAAAACAAATGCAGCTCAGACATCAATAATTTGCGCATCACAACAGAATTGAAAGTGATCTGTGATTAATATTCAACCAATTAAAAACTGAAGTCTTTAAAATGTAAACTCTCTCAATTATTGAACCATTAGCAAAGTACTGCTCACATAAAAGGGAATGCATGTATATAAAGGGTCCAGTTTAGAAGGATTTGCATGCAGTGTAAGCTGAATTTTTCAAACTCTATTTAAATAAACTGATGGAATAGTGAGCAAAGGTCTAGAATAAAATTAATTTAGGAAGATACCTGGTTTATAAGTCTGTTTTAACAACAGGCACAGAAACGTGTAAAGATCAAGGTGCCGGTTTTTCAACCTGCTACATTAAACTGGATGTTAGGTGAAAGAGCATATAGACACTATCAAAGACAGATCACTATTCCCACCACTAATCAAACAAGTGCTTAGAGACCAAATAGAAATCAAACAAGGAGCATAATAGAAGATCATATTTTAACCAAGTAAGCCATGAAATGAGTAAATATTTAAGGGAACTGAAATTGCACTGTAACTAAATAAGTCCTGATGTTGCTATTGTAAGTGGTTATTAACAATGGCATATGTTTATGGTGTTGTAGAACTTATCTGAGAAGGAAACTTAGTTATGCAACACTATGTCATTATTAGGGTTTTAGTATGTTGTATTTTTATATTTATTTCTAATTTGCAGCTGCAAAAAATAACTCCTCCTCCAAATCTTATTTGACCAATTGGGTGGTTTTCTAAACTACTTTTCCTAACCTACGACATGTCAAACTCACTAAGATTTAGACTCATATGTCAGGACAACAACCCAAGCCAAACCGAGAATAATTTTAAAGTATAACATAAGCGCAAGCTTAAGGTCAAGACTGTGATCCAAGATGATGACGCGCTTAATGAATAAATCATTTTAAGGGGTTACATCCTACAATCACTTGGTTGTACCCCTTTCTTTGAGATCTGGCTGGAAGTTCTGTCACCATCAGTAGAAATTTTCTGTCTAACCTGATGGTAGATAGTAATTGGAAGACAGCAGAGACAGAAAGGGCAACTTGGATTATCTGGTCTCGTTCCCTGAAGTTTACAAGATTACTTTAGGCCCATTATTGCAATATCTAACACTTTTTTATATTTCTTGCTGTGATGGAACCTCATTCATATGCTTTGATTTTTTTCTCTGTTGCTTGCCACAGGCACAGGTATTTTTCCTTCGGTTCAGCCAAAGAAGAGCAAAGGCTAACAAGCAGATAGATTAGTAACATGATTTTCTGCAAAGAGAAGTATCTGAGGAAAAAGTAGAAATGTGAGAATTGCTACTTCCCACCCAAGGAGACACACACAGGGTAGCATTCAAGTAATGATAGAATTTGCTCATCAGTAATGTCATTACCATATCCAAGTAGAAGATCTTGGGAGAAAAATGTAACTTTTACTCTTGGCTACAGAAATTCATCATGCAATCTGCTCAAAAGTTACAGAAAATTGTCTGTATTTTGTTTCCTTTCACATTTTTGGGAGAGTTCCTAAAACAATACTTTCCTTCTAAACACAGAGACATGCTTGTTCACTTACCTCTCCCAATTTACTTCCGGGCTGATGCAGGAACTTGAGACTGAAACTGTGTGTTCAAACTCTGCCAGGAGAAAAGCCTTCCTGTAACAGAATCATCCAAATGCAGAGGCTAATCAAGATGCTGAATCGACTGCTCACAGCAGGAAAGCTTGGAGAGGATTTTCCTCAAGCTGTTTGGCACATATGCAGATAGAACTTCAGCGAAAGTCAGGGAGAGTCCTGTGCAAAGTTGCTTTGTTTTTTCATCCACAGTGATTTTCTGAGAGAGAAATGAGCTGATAGAAACCAGGAGCTAAACACCCTATTTATTCCTGGGCATTCCCAAGTACAATTTAAGATACAGTATCTGAACTCAGGCTGCATGTGTACACATAAGTGGTGGGGAAGAGGTGTCTTTCATGCAGCTTGACCTTTATGCTACCTATGGATGCATGGGCAACCTAAAGGTACTGAGTTGCACTTTTCTGCTCTCTCCAGTTTGTCTCTTGTCATCCTGAAATGAAATAAGGCTTAGACCCTGACAGTTTGAATTAACCATAGATACTGATACTCATACACCTGTGACTCTTGAAATCAGAAGACCCAGAGAAGAAATTGCTGTGACCAGCATGGGAACTTGCTTTCCTTGTTCATGTGTTGGTATTTGTACTGGCCAGCTGTGAGCAAGCCTTGTGTACCCAACAGCCAGAACACACCTGGGAGAGGAGAAGTGTGCACACAAATGTATTTGGGTTGTTCTGTTTGAGGAGGTTCATGCCAGATAAAAAGAATTCAGAAATTAATGGGGATCATCTTGGTCTCTTTTATAGTTATTATGGAACCACTACATATTACTTCTCCCTTTTCTCAAAGAATGGTAAGTATAGCCCAAAGTCAATGCTGTGGCCCTTCACATAGGGCCCAGGTAGAGCAGAACCTCTTTTGTTTGAACACATGGAAAGCTGGTTAACAATTCTTTGAATAGGAAAGCAAAGGTTTGTGTGGGCTCTGTTTCAGGAGTTTCCATGGTTAAACAATTTCTGTTTAATAAGTCTACAGCATGTTTCTGCTCCCAGATAGATCAGTAACAACTGCCATACTCAGCAAACATCCAACACAACAGAATACAACAACGGCTGTGGAGCACTGCTTTATAACAGGGTTTCAATTGATAGGACATAGTGTTTTGAGGACAAAAAAATAAGGCAAAACTCCACCCATTGTGCCCATCTTCTGTGTATTTTGTCACACAGTCAGAAGAAGGGGAGGAAGAGCATCTTTGAAAACTCTATGTACTAGAGCGAATCCTCACATCCTTCTAAAGGTACAATGTGTTAGGAAACAGTGCAAGTCTGTAATACACTGAAGACAGAACCAATGTGATAGAATACTGCGCTAAATAAAGTGGAAGAAATACTGTCAGATATATGTCTCTGCATGGCTCTGTCCTATTTCCACTTAACTTACTCCATTTTATAGAGGAGTCCTCTTCAATGTGCAACAAGTAACCTGTCACCTGCTTGAGGAAAGCATCACCTGAGAAAACATTGAAATGTATGCATCCTTTCAACAGGGATTGGCAGGGATTTTTCATTCCATCTTTTCCTACTCATTTGCAATGAGTCATTGTCTTGAACATTTGAAAAAGTGGGCATGCTGCTGGTAGCAGATCTTCTGACTAATTCTCTTTGTAGGCTCAACCTGTGGGGATGTCCAGGTCCATAACATTACTCCTGCCAGATTTTACTGTGAGGCCACAGTGGGTAGATCTTTATTTTCACTAAATTGCAAGATGTTCAGTGCTTTACTTATTTTCTTTCTCTGCTCATTTACTCAGGGGTTGTTCACCCTCCAGCTCACTGTCAGAAGCTAAAGGCAAGCCTGGCCTATCCTCCTGCCCCATGAGTCAAGCAAAAGTGTGAAATCAGAAGAGAAAAGACATTATTAAAAAAATAATGGATGAAGAATGTACCTGGGGTATTTTTCTGCAAAAGTTGTACAATATAAGGTTAAATGAAAAACCTAGAAGCAACTGCTGTTGTCCTACACAGGTCTCTTGTGGAAACTGCTCACTAAACTGATTTTTCAAGAAGAGAAATATATTTAGAATAAGGACTCTGTGCTAGAAAACTTTGACATTATTGAATACACCGAATCATGAAATAACACTTCATCCTCCCTGAGTGAACGGCCTATTAACTGAATAAAAGAACTATGCCCATGTACTGCAGAGAAAATTTAAAGAAATTTGACTGTGGTTGGAAATGATGGATGATAGGAAGTAAAGAGGTACTCTAACAAGGGGGGGAAATGTATTGTGTTACAAGGCTTGTTTCTTTGTTTGCTCCTAATAACTTTGTATTCAACAGTAGAGCAGGGGAAATCTTTTATGCTCTGAATACCATACCTGTTAGGCTTCCAGTTATGAGGCTGAGGTCACTTGACATTAATAGAATGTGAATTTAGAAAATTCTAATTTAAGTTCCCACTCCTCCACATTTTCCTCACAGGTGAGACTATCACCTTCTGGAATTCCATAGACGTAAGCTGGTCTTCTCACACGTGTAAAGCTCAATGCTGTAACCCCCTTGTTAAACTACCTGCAAGAAGAAAAGTCTCTTACTTTATT